CCCCCCCCCCCCCCCCCCCCTTGGAAATCAGCAATATATCGCTGTAGGGGTCAGCGTAGTAAAATAAAGTTTTTACCTAATCCATGAGCTCCGAAGGTAAAGAACGTTTGTTTTATAATCACTTATAGTCAATGTTACATTTCATATCTTTCTAGAGCAGATCGAATTTGCAGATATAATTGTCGACGCATGGGTAGCAAGGAACATTCAGTGGGTGGGAATTTTGGAGTCTCATGAAAAGGGCGGTAGTCACTTCCACACGGCTAAAAAATTGTCCACAAGATCGAGGTGGCGAGCTATCGGAAAGCTCTAGAAGAGTAAATGCGGCATTTAATTGAACTTTTCAATTCAGATAATCCCAAATATTACTATTGAGCGTATTCGTACGTGGTAAAGGAGACCCGGACATCGTGATTTTTCCAGGGCTTATAGACCTCCCCATTGCTGACGCGTTAGCAAGTACTAGCGCGACCCACCAAAGCAAGAAAGTTGCACAGGCTTCCAAAAATATATAACGAAAGGGACTCGCAGTATACGGCGTTGTACGCATTATACAACACAAAGTTAGTGTTATACGCTAATTGTGCTAATAAGCGTTTCCGGACTAGAGGAATGCAATGAAACTAGCATCGGTTAACACTTCGGTTGTCGCTATCGAAATATGAAATAACGGGCAACAAGACAGCTTTTAAAACAGAACAAGGATAAGAATAATCTGTTGAGAATCTCTAACAATGTATTTGCTATTATTGAAAGGCTTTGAAATTGATTAAACCATGCAAGTTTTGGATCGAATGACACTTTTCTACGTAAATAAATCTTATATATATATATATATATATATATATATATATATATATATATATATATATATATATATATATATATATATATATATTTATACAATTTATATACATCAATTTATATATTGCGTAGAATCTCGAAGATTTTCTCAATATTTACGTCTGAAATCAGCAACAGAAAGACCAGGCGGAAATCAGATTCAAGTTAGAAATATTATTGCATGCCCAGCAAATAATTCGTAAAAGAGGCATATTCAAAAAAGCATTTGGTGTACAAAAAACATTTATTGAATATCGAGTAACGTTTCGTCACATTACAAGCGACATCATTTTTATTTAATATATATATTCGCCCAAATCAGTTTATAAAATTAACAATTTAAATAGAAAATATTTACAATAGTATGGCTAGGAACCTTCTAGAAACCATAAGGCTTTTGTTTAAGGTCCCTATATAGTTACAATTCAAATAATATAATATTAAAAGTTAATACCAGTCCAATTGTTTTCAAAGGAATTACGATGATATATTTACAATAAGGAAAGTGCGTAAAAGATATATCAGACTATAACAACTATTTGGCTGTTCACTTTGTGCAAAGAATTCTACTTATTTAAATTTGACAGAAGAAAATATATTTTCATTGTAGATTTAAATATTGGAAGAGATCTAATTTGCTTATATTGCGTCGGAAGATTATTCCACACATCGATGCCGTTATTACCGAGCGTGTGTTTTTTATAATTTGTTCTAGTACAATTTTTGTGAAGCAATGATGCGTTTCTTGTGTTGTAATTATGGATTTCTTTGTTAGTTAAAAAATATTTATCAAAAATTTCTGGAAGATTTTGTAGATGAAAATATCGGAACATAAATAGACTTGTTAAGAAATCATTCAATCATCAGACTAAATACAAGTAAAAAATTATTAATTAGTTAACGTTTCGTTGTATACAATACAACATCTTCAGAGCAATCTAAATTAATTTACAGGGTATGGACTATGGTATATATATTTACAAATAATGGTTTAATATTACAAAAACTGTTACATAGTTTGAAAGAACAAATGAATAGAAACATGGAAAACAACTCATCAGTAACTAGTTAATAAGTAAAGATTAATGTATGGTTAGTATAGTTAAGGTTAATATTACATAACTAAAATAACTCAAGAGGGGTAGATCTAATATTAGCATTAAGGACAGAGTTAAGTTGAGATATTAATAGGCATTCACGGATATGAATATCCCATTCAGAAGTGCCTGATGATAGAATATTGAAATCAGAAGCGGAGACTGGGTGTTTGTGCATGTGCTTGTGAGCGAGTATACTAGACATGGTTGAGATAGAGCGTTCTTTTCCAGTCAGAGGCGAGATTCCCATATGCTCTGAGATATGTGTGTGAATGTGTCGGCGTGTTTGGCCAACACACAATGCGCTACAGCATTGACACGTGAACTGATACACAACATGTGATATCATTGCAACAGGAATCCTGTCTTTAAATGGAAAGAAACTAGAAAGGCGACAGAGGGACGGAAAACAACACGTATGGAAATATGTGGATAAGCAGAAGCAAGAACTTTACTAAGTTATCAACGGATATGTAGACCGGCCATGATGTCCAGTGAAAGGAAGGCAAAAGTAAACAATTTTCTAGGAACATGTATGGTCTACATATCCGTTCACAACTTAGTAAAGTTCTTGCATGCTTTTGCTTATCCACATATTTCCATAGGTGTTGTTTTCCGTCCCTTCTGTTCGCCTTTCTAGATTCTTTGCATTTAAAGACAGGATCCCCATTGCCCTGAGATCACATGTTGTGTATCAGTTTCACGTGTCAATGCTGTAGCGCATTGTATGTTGGCCAAACACGCCGACATATTCACACACGTATCTCAGAGCATATGGGAGTCTCCCCTTTGACTGGAAAAGAACGCTCTATCTCAACCATGTCTAGTATACTCGCTCCCAAATACATGCACAAACACCCAGTCACCGCTTCTGATTTTAAAATCCTATCATCAGGCACTTCTGAGTGGGATCTTCTTGTCCGTAAAAGCCTATTAATATCTCAACTTAACCCTGTTCTTATTGCTAATATTATTAGATCTACCCCTCTTGAGTTATTATAGTTATGTAATATTAACCTTAACTATACTAACCATATATTAATCTTTACTTATTAACTAGTTACTGATAAGTTGTTTTCGTTTCTTTCTATTAATTTGCTCTTTCAAATTATGTAACCGTTTTTGTAATATTAAACCATTAGTCAGAGGCGTAGCCAGGGCTGGGGCCCGGGTCCCCCTGGCAAAATTTCCCGCCTCGCAAAATTTTGGCCCCCCTGATAAAATGTATTGTACTAGTAAGGGTACTTGCATGGTAGGGATTGCTGCGGGCATCAAGAGCAAATAGGACTAAAAATAATACAAATTATATAAAGCATGCAGTTATTACTCGCAGCGAGCTGGCGACTTGTGAGCACTGTGGTCGGAGCTTAAGGAATACGGAATCGATTCATGCCATGAGTCAACCTCGTTCCCAGGGCTTTCGTATGAGGACGAGGCGAGGCACGAGAAAGCCCTGGTCTGGGCCGGTCAATTTTGCATTCTGAATGGCTAACACTATATTGTCTAAAAATAACTGAACTTGACAGTTGACAATAATTATTAACAATTCAACATTTGTATTTTTATGATTCTTGTGTGTACGAGAATGTCTTGCAAAATACTCTTTCTAAAGGCTGATTTTCACTGTTGCGTTTTTCATACGTACGTATACGCACGTAAAACTTTAAATCCGTTTAAATGTTACTTATGAAATAACCAAATAAGTAAAGCGACAGAATTTAGTGTTCCGTAAGTTTTAGTATGCATTTGTTAACTTATTTGTAAAATATTTAAAAAATAGAAGGATTTAAAGTTTTACGTGCGTGTACGTGCGTACGAAAAACGCAACAGTGGAAATCAGCCTTAAGTAAGATGTTTTCCCGACTGCATGATTTACTTTCGCCTCGGCCGGTTACAAAACTCAAAAGCCGTGTGGACGTGAGCTGTGATGTTTCCTGACAAAACAAGAAACTCCTATTATTTAAGCTGTAGTTTTCCTTGTACAGTATTTATAATGTAGGACAGATGTCTGATGAAATACTACGCGTATTGCATTGTAGTAATATTTTAATTTACAATATTCTGTACTGACAAATAAAAGCAAGACAAACAATTAAATGAAACTACTAAATTAATTACTTAATTTGTAATAGCTCTACGCTTAGGCCGATGTAGTGTAGTCTCTACGAGATTCGTCACGCCACCAAGTTTTATAGTTTCAGAATACTCCGAATACTTCAGTGAAAATTGCGACTATACGGTAGAATCACAGGACGAAATCAGTAGCTATCATCATGGTTAAAGGTGGCGTAAAGCGATGTTATTGGCGGCTTTATTCACATTTAATCAGTTTGATTAAATTTAGTAAATGTACCTAAACTCTCCTTTCAGCATGCAGATTAAAGATTTTTCTGGAGGCTTTAAATGTCCAAATTATAGTATAATTATAGATGATTAAAGACGACCTATTAAAGAATGAGAAAAGTTTGTTTAAAGGGAATTAAAGGTTTCTAACTTGTCTTTAACTGCGAAGAGAAATGAGTTGTAAAGGTACCTTGAAGCTACATATACAAAGCTTTTCTGCTCTGGTATTTTACATCTTTAATCACATTTAATGTGGTGTTGAAATTGTAAAAAGGTGCATGTGTTTACTCAACTTTAAGCAAAGGTGTTTTGAATCTTTATTTTACCTTTAATCACATTTAATATGTGTTGAAATTGTGAAAAGGTACCTGTACATGCCTTTACTCAACTTTATGAAAAGGTGTTTTGTATCTTTATTTAACCTTTAATCACATTTAATGTGGTGTTGAAACTGTGAAAAGGTACATGTCTTTACTCAACTTTAAGCAAAGGTGTTTTGTATGTTTATTTAACCTTAAAACACATTTAATGTCGTACGAAAAGAACAGAAAAGAAACGTATATTGTCTATTTGACGTTACCATTTGCCATTTAAATACCTATAGTATTGTTTAACCATTAATGGTTAAACATTAATGGTTAAACAAACTATTCAAAATCGCAAATGCAAATGTCAAATAATAATAGTTACAGTTAAGCCATGTTTTAGATATTTTCGTTAATAAATTGTACGTGCAGGTAAGATGATCAATAAAACAAAAGTAATGCCATTCATAGATCTCTCTGGCGTTTCCCAGATTTGAACGTAATAGCAAACAAGCTGCTCCAGTGGCGAGTTTAATAGCAAAGCAGGAAGTAATGTCTCCAAAGACAAAAAAAAAAGATTTCAGCACACATAATTTTTTCTTCAATTTTATATTTACCATATAAATAACATAAAAATCTGCCATGCAGAATAAATGCATATCGTATAAACAGTGTAAATTACGCAAACTCATAAATTTGATTATCAAATTATCACGTGCAGAATGAAAACCCACGAATAAAAACCTTTCAGTCTAACATTTCTATTTAGAATTTTGTATGAACCTGTTTAAGAAGCCATGCAGGTTCACAACAAATATATAAAGCACTCTTAATACATTAGAACATGGAAAACTTTGGGTGATATATCGTGGGTCTTTACTATACTGAAAAACTATAGCAATCAGAGTCATGATCATTTAAAATGTCATTAACAGAGTCATTCAGCGAAGAGCCACTAGGGATAATGACTGGGCACTCTCATCAACAACATTATCATCCTCGTTCTTAGCTGCCCACTCCGGGAAGTCGAATGGAGGGCTGTCCATCCTCGCGAGGAACAATTCTGCTCCGTACCAGTTCTGACAAAGACAAGGTGGAGCCTGTCTAACTTTTTCTTTGCCCTTCGTATAGAGATGGACTCTCCCAGGGTAGCCTACGAACGTTGTAACGCATGATCCTTTTTGTTGTTTCGTCGACCTCGCTTTCTTCTGATGACATGTACAGTAGCCTGCCCTCATAACATCGAACACTCTTGCAGTGTTCTGGGCACCCCAATTTGCCTTTTCCACGTGCTTCAGCCTGCGTGCAAGTCTCTAAAGAAAGATACAAAATAATAACAAATAAGCTTGACACTACTACAAGTTCTTAGCAAACTTATAGTACAAATGTTGACTATTGAGTTTACACAGTACAATTTTGTATCAAATGTTGATTTGATGATTGGATGACATTGCCTGGATGACTTTTCCTTCCACCGTATGCGCGTTGTTCAGACTCTGAAAGTTCTTTAAATTCTTCTTCATAATCATTTTACACACGATTTCCCTTTTCGTCGCAGGCGACATACAGTAGGTAATTTTTTTTTTTTGGGGGGGGGGTGTTAGGTAGACTGCTTATGCATGCCACAACTTTGCTTAGCAAGAAATCCGACTTTGGAAGCCTTACAGATTCATCCACGAGGTTATCGAGGCATTACAAGCAATGAGCATAAAAATGTCATTTACTGCATGTATTTAAATTTATACATTGCTCGGGGAGACAAAGCAAAAGGTAACTTTCAAATAGAGTGTCACAAATGTCACAAACACCCAAAGACGGATGTTTTAGATTGAGCAACCCCCTTGAAATACAAAGCTAAATTAATGCCTATCAAAATTAAATGCAGTGTTATAAGTTCAAACCTCGAATCTTAAAAAATTGGTTATACTGTGTAAATTAATGCTAAAGCTGTTAACAGATCTTCAAAGTCTTTAATCCCTTGCTGTGTGTTAATGTTGGTGGAAAATTTAAACACGCAAAATAATTTGTTCTGGATGTTCACGAGAACTTGTACCAAATCATATGTAAAAACCGCGTAAACATTTTAAAGACCATGATGTTTGTCATGTTACTCTGAGTGTATATCCACACCAAGCAAGCTTCAAAAAAATATGCTGACCACGGTGGGAATCGAACCTATGACCCTTGGAATACTAGCCCAATGCTCTGCCAACTGAGCTACGCAGTCAGGTCGGTTCGAGTAACTCTACAGTATGTGATTTTCGGAAATGAGCCTAGTTACTTCGATAACAATGCAATCTAATAATCATGATTTTTTCTGTGTTGGTGTAATGTATTCAGGTGAATATGATGCTTGTGATGTCACTCTGCATGTATATCCACTGAATCCACACCGGGTAAGCTTGAAAAATATACCCGGCCTCGGTTGGAATCGAACCTAGATGATCCTTGGAATACTAGCCCAATGCTCTGCCAACTGAGCTACGCAGTCAAGTTGGTTCGAGTATGTGATATTTCAGAACTGAATCTAGTTCTTTCGATATCAATGCAATCTAGTCATCATGATAGCTCAGTTGGCAAAGCATTGGGCATTCCAAGGTCGTAGCTTTGATTCTCATCCTGACCAGGTCTATTTTTCAAACTTCCCCGGTGTGGTTATACACTCAGAGTATCATTGCACAAACATCATATTCACCTGAGTACATAACACCAACACAGAAAAAATCATTTTAAGGACCATTCTTTAAATACAGTGCACATGCAAAGGTTGTCACATGCAATAGTCAATTCTACAATCCAAAACGCAAATATTTTTGACAAAATGCAAGCAAATGCAGATAATATTGCTGGCATGTGACATTTGACTACTGCAATACAGCTGTTATGAACAGAGTAATTATTAACATTTTAATATATCGTTACATTATCAGACAGAGACATTATGCTATAATTAGCTATAAATAGGTTCACTGTATTAACTGTCAATCATGTACG